ACTCTTGATTTCAACAAACACCTCCAACCTCCGGCTCTCACGACTATGAGCGAACGCCTGAGCAAAAATTGTCGAGGACTCCGAGATGGTAAAGGGGTGTGTGTACAGTGCCATCTCTTCTGCATTGTTAACGGCGTACTTGATGATGGCCCCAGGCGTAGCACAGGTTATTGTCACCGTTTGTGTGACGGCTGCAGGGTCGTCAACCGTCACAACGGGCGCCTCAACAACAACGGGGATCTCATATGTGTAGCCCAACTCGCCCTCCGCAGTGGAGGAAGGAGTGATACTCAGCCATATGAACGGTGGTGAATTATCGCCGCAGCACGGCACAAGATGACGTTCGGTTATGTTGTCACTGGTCTCGCCCCAGATTGGAGCGCGACCATCATGAGCGTCTCGCCACGTCTCGCACATCGATGTGCCGTTGCCGCCGCCTGAAAACACCTGAACCCATTCATTTTCATCATTCTTCACAGGGACAAAGGAAGAGCCCTCAGGCACGGGGAACACGCCCGGGCGTCCCACACCAAAAGGGCACACAGCTGATAGTGGGCACAACTCCATATGCCTCGTCTCAGCACACAACGCGTTTGCCGCAGTCCAACTCATCCTGCTGTTCCTTGTGTCGATCAGGTGAAAAGAGTTGTTCGCTCTGAGCTTCATTACCAGCTGGTTCCACCCCTTGTTCAGTGGCAAGGTCTCGCGCACCTCCTTCTCCGAAGAAAGGGGTGACGAGCCAACCAACTGGCCATCCAGCCACATTGCATAGCCCCCATGAAAAATGACACGCGCCGTCGCCTCCATCGACTCCGTGGCATACAACACAACAAACCAATACTGATTGGAATTTCCACCAAAAGGGCGGTGACCCCAGATGCCATCTGCGCTCACTCTTCCCACCCATTGGTACTGGCGCTCTTGCCCCAATGTCCAGATGCTTTGATTTAAAAGCAACCCAGGCATGTAGCTTGCATCAATCGGAAGGTCAGTAAACTCATCCGCCACCGCCGTATTGTTGAATGGATTAAAGGGAATCGCTCCAACCCGAGACTTGACATCGACTAATTCCATGAGTGACAAAAGTGGTCTGTTGGGTCGAATGGGAGCCACGCCAAAAGGGAGATTGCTACCAGTGATATGGGCACTGCCAAGACGATAGTTATCAAAGTGAATGTAAAAAGTTAAACCCCATGACTGTCCTTTCGTGGCGGCAATGCGCACAATCAGCTGATGCCACCCGCGCGAAACCGGCGTGGTGAAACTCTCGTTTAAAGGGCCAATGTCGCTTGGGCGACTGTACACCGGTTTACCATCAATATAAAAATCGGTTTTGCCGCCAGTGGTGAAGGTCCAGCCAACAGGAACCTTTTCCTCGTAGCCGCTGTAAAGGGCGATGGCGACGTATGACACAGCAGCCTCCTTGTCCTTTGGAAGACTCTCTGCAGAAACGGGAATCCGGCCACCATAAAAGACAAATACCTTCCAAACTTTGCCGCTCATGTGTTCTCCTGGCTTCGGGATAGCCGTACTCACGTTGATGAAGTCCTCGTCTAGTGCGCCGTACAGATACTCTTCCCTTTGCTCTCCCAAATGAAGAAGGTAGAACATATAGTTGTTGTTCCATATTTCGTAGGCACCCTCCGGAATGTCTGGCATGACGGCGTGAGTGTAGCCAACTGCAGTGCCTACCACACGCATTGAAAAGCTCGAGACGGCGGTGCACTTTCGAGGATCCTCCGTTGCTGTCGAATTGTCAGAGAACAACTTGACAAGGACCTGATGGTAGCCTTGCATTACATCAACGGCAAAAGAACCCCTCCGTGAGCCACCCTCTTCCCGGGGAACAAAGCGTTTACCAGCAAAGTACATCACAGCGGCGGTGTCAAACTCATATTGCAGCACGATACGCTGAACCGCGGCACTGTAAACAGCGACAGCATAGTACTGCACACTTTTGCACGGCACCTGCACCCGAAACACACCATCCGCCTGGGTCACGTTTTCCCACTTGTCGCTCACTGGAGGCAGCGTGTAGGGCTCCACCGTGTTGAGGTGACCGGCAACAGGGCGGATTCGAGACTCACCGCCCACGATGGAGGATGCAAACCAATCTTCGTCAAGTGCCGCAATCCCATCCACAGGACCGATTGCCGTGCCCGCCTTGCCAAATCGCACAAGCGCAGGGATGTTTCCGCCGGCAGTCGGTGTCACATCCCACGGGAGTTTCCCAAAAACGTCCACCACAGCCTTCAGTTGCCTTGTGTTCACCGTATCGGGGCCGGACACAAGGTCTACTATGATGGTATATTTCGCAGCGCTAGGATCTGAGGCGTTGGAAAAATGCGTGTACCTTCCCGTTGGACTTGTCACAGTGACTTTCTTTCCGTTTGTCGTAATATTAAATGTGACATTTTCAAGAACTGGCTCACTTCGCATGTTCCACAAGTTGACTTCAAATACCACTGGAACGTTAGGAACAGCAACCGTTGGCTTTGTACCCCAGGCAAGATACATTGCAGGTTCCTTCGGAGAGAATAAAAGGCGGTACGGCCGATACCAAGCGGCATTCTGACCGGGCATCAGCGCGCAGCAGCCTCCCGTGTGGTTATCGCTGCTCCCGTTGTCACCCCAGAACGATAGTGTACTTCGCTCAGCGTTGACATAGCCTTCTGCGGATCCGCCCAACGCATCCTCGTAGATGGACGGTGTGACAGGGAAGGTGTGTCCATCCCACGTGGCGTCTCGAGGGTCCTGCGGGGCGTAGAGATACTTTTGTTCTCTCGTCGGGCTGGTAAGAAGGTCACAGAGATGAACGCCCTTTTGGGGGATAAGATAGTCTGCGAATTTTCCCATCTCAATTATCAATACGAATTTGTCACCATGTACGTCGAATTTACCACAGGAATTAATAAAATTTTTATCGTTCTCTTTAAATCCATTCTTGATGTCCTCCGTCGTCAGTTTGTGGGAGCCGTCCAGAACACCAATGACGATTTCCTCCGCGTCGGCAGCACTGATAAAAAGAAGAGAAACCATCAAGGCCAACACGACAGCGTAGGCTTGTCGGGAAGCAGGAGACAGGACCGTTGGCATTGAGCTAAGAATGACGGTCCTCAAACTTTTTTTTGCTGATATGTCGGCTTTTCTCCTTTGAAATGCTTTATCCGGATATTAACTTTTACCTCACCCTTCGTTCCGTAAATCTGTCTTCCAATCGGCTGCGGTTCCACAACCGAAGCGCCCAGATAATCCCCCGCTTACAAAAAAAGGAAATATAAAATATATTTTTTTCTTTTTTGTGTGTTCGCAATGCAGTCACCACGGCGTCACAACAGCGAACAGATTCCAAGCTTGCAGACACACGCGCTCACACTCAAAATTCCGCGTAGACCACCTTCAAAAAAAAGTAAAAAAAAAAAGAAACAAAAACAGCAAAAAAAGATTACAGGATGTACGCAAGTAATAGAACGTGAAAGAAAGGAGGCAGAGATAAAATACACAAGAAGAAACGTTGGGGGTCAGCTCGTGCTTCCCATTCATGCTGCACACGTAATTTAAGCGCACGCAGAGATGCGTGCATATATAATATATATGTTTTTACTCCACGCTTTTTTCATACCGTTCAGTCACTTTCTGACTCCTGGGGATGGTGTGGCTGCGGCACGGGCTCAATCCCCACCTTTCCAGTCGCCGAACACCCTGCCTCTTCTTCCATTTCCACCATTTGCACCTTTTGCATTGCTCTCAGTTGACGAGCGCGATTGAGACGCAGAGTACTTCGTAGGGCAATAAATGACCCAGTGCCAATGATGACACCAAAGAAGGCAAGTCCCACCCCAATGACCAGGGCGTTACTTCCCCTGACGGTTTCAGAATCCTCGTTTTTTTCAGAGCTTCGTCGCGGAAACACATTCATGTGAAATGGGGATCGAATGGCGCTTTGTCCTCCTACAATAAGTGTAATGAAGTCCTCTGAGCGGGTGTTCAATACGGGTGCCACATACACAAAAGATACCACTGGAGTTTTGTAAATCGGGCCCTTGGGAAGATATGTGATGTTTTCAAACACCGCGCCAAGCGTACTAGAAAGATTGAAGTACCGCACATCACCAGTGACGCCATTATGAAGATCAATGAAGCACTGCGTGCGATTTCCACTAGTAATTGAAGAAACTCGACAACCACGCAGTGACACATAAGCTGCATGAGGCATCACTCCAGAAACAAACAAAAAAGGTGAGCCTCGCACCTCTTCCACTCTCTTTCCACCATTCCCAGATGTACTTGAAACAATGTACACATGCAAACGTTCCGTGTTGATGAAATTGTTAACTTTCAGTTTCCAAGAAAGAATGACGGTATCTTCTTGGGCCCATACACGAGAATAAACGTCAAAGGCTTTCGTGTTATCCACCCATTTCCCCCTCTCCTCGTTATTGTCCAGCATATCAAAGACAATTCGAAAATAATCCATATTTATTCGGACGGGGCCCGCTTCATCTAAAGCACGTAACGTACAGACAATGGGAGTAGTTTCATTGGAACATGATAGCGTAGAAAAGGACGCTGCTGGATATAAATCCGGGTAAAGTAAAGGGAAATTGGTGGAATACACGTCTTTTATCCCTTTAAGCGTCAGAAGAAGTGTGAAATATGTCACCGTCATGCTTGAAAAACTTGCTGCTGTGAAGTTGAAGACAAGTTTCCTCATGCCGGAAATAAATTTGAAAGAACCCAAATCGTTCTCTTCTAGAAATGTAACTTCACTTTGATGCACGGCTGCAGGACGATTACTTGCATCATATAAAGCCGCCCCACATGTTGTGGTGCCGCGAAGAACGAGGCCTGATGAGGGGACATTGCAGGAAATGGGCCCCATTCGCACCGCCGGCCAATTCAAGACAGACACCACGACGCCACTATTTCGAATCGGGAAACTTTGATTCCCAGAAATGTACATCACGTTCACTGTGATGCTAGTGCCTTCCGAGGCAGAAAAATCAAACGTCAGCGTTGTCACATCGACGCCGCGCTGCAGCGGGCTCAACTTCAGGTCGGCTTGGGGCACGGAGCTTTGAGGCGTTACAAGAAATTCTTCCAATTCAAATGCCATGGTGGGCTCTTGTTGTGAGTCTCGCACATTTATGACACAAAAGGATTTCTGGTGCGGTTCTATCTCCAGCGGGGAGCAGAGTAACTCCGACTCCGACGAGGCACGCGCACTCACACCGTGAAGAAGAGCGGAGCCGGAAATAACGACCAAAAATAGCAGTCTTTGGAAAAACGCAGTTAATTTCATATTTCCATGCAGAGCATTCGTAACCCCTTCGGGCTATGATTATAGAAATCTCAATATGGAGCAACTACCAGAATAGGATCGAAAGAAAAATAAAAATGTGTGTGTATGTTTGTTTTGTGTGTGTGTGTGTCAAGAGAAATCAGCCAAAACGGGGAATGACAAGAAAAACAAAAGAAGAATCTCCCCCCGCTCCCTCTTCATTCATAGCAACAAACAACAAAAATCCAAACAAAAGAACGACTGCATGTCCCTACCGGCGTCGTAGTGCTTCAAACCGTTCACGAAGTTCCTTTTCTTCTTGATCAGCAACTTCAGCATACTTAACGTTCAGCAGCGCCTCGTCGTGTACCATCTCCATGAGCCGAGCTGCCTCATCTTCGTCACCATGTCCACTCCCAGCCGTCCCACACTGCTGCAGTGAATTCTGCTGACCACCCAGAAAATCCACCGGTCGTCGAACAGGAGCGAACCCCAAAGAAGAAATATTGGAGCTTTTAAGAAGCACCTGCGGACCACTGCTTGTCGGCACAAGACCACCAGCGGCACCGAGTTTCGGTGCAGAGGCTTTCGGCGAGCCATTTTTTGGCGACGCATCTGCGCCAAGTCGGGCGTTTATGCTCTGGATGCTCTCACGGTGCTCCCTGTCACGGTCTTCCTTCTTTTTCTTTTCAAGAGCCTCCACTGCCGACAAATGAGCCGCCCGAAGAAAGTCCAACTCGCCACGCAATGCTAAAATAAGCTCCCGTTGGGATTCATTCTTCTTTTTTAGCTCTTCAAACGCTCGTAATTCATCACGCAACTTGGTGCAATCAGCAGTGCGTTGCCTGAGCTCTTGCTCCAACACCGAAACCCTCGTGCGGAGAGCATTTTTCTCGTCCGCGAGGTCATCCGATGCCATGCGACCCACCTTTTACTTCAGCACTTTTGGTCATCGATAAACAGAGAGGGAAAAAAAAAGAAAAAAAAAAAGGCAATTCTCGCTTGCCGCCTTCGCCCCTGATAGCATCGGTCCGCCGTTCCTTTCCTTCTCTGAACAACTGCGAGAGGAGTACCGGAACCCTTCCCCACACATGGCTTTCTCAACAAAGCAAACCCCTCCTCCCTCCCCCCCAAAAAAAAAGAAAAAAAAAATTGTTCCGAGCGAAGGAATGTATACACAGTCACGGAGACAGGGAGAAACACATATGCAAATATCCACCAAACTTTTCACCTTCCATGAATCCATGTGATGAAATTTGATCAAAATCAACGTTCTTCTTCTCTTTCACCCACCCCTACATATATCCACTAACCATTGTGCAACCCCGCATCCATGTGGGCGTGTTTAAACTGCACAACAAGAATGAATTTCATTGAAAACTTGAGAGAACAAAATAAAGCAAAGCGTATTAGCGGCTGCCAAAATTCCGGGCCTCCCACTTCGGTACCTCTCTTTTCTTTCGCCCAACACCCTCCCCCTACCTCTCATTTTATTATTATTATTATTATTATTACGCTCTTTGCCTCCCCTCTCTCTCTCTCTCTCTTTTTTTTTTTTTTGTTGCTGTTTATTGTCTTCAAGAGAACGCTCATTTATTCCTTCTTTTTTGAGAGCAAAAGGGACACGTTTCGGGAGTTAAGCGCACAAGCACCATCCGAATTCTGTCTTTCATCATTGGCCATCGCACTGCCGAGTGAAATGTCGCCTGACGGCAGGGAATCCTTTCCGACACCCCGCCGAGCCCTTTCTTCTGTAATCCTCCGCATGATTGCCGCCGTTCGTTGGGAAACATCCGAGCTTCTGCAAAAAGCCGACCGGCCATCCAACCCCTTGGCCGTAACAAAAGCGGGCGATGCTCTCGAAGGAAAGCCACGAGTCTCTGACACCACTGCACCCTCACCCTCCTGTCCACTGGTCACGAGGTCATCACGAGAGGGCGCCACCGCATCACTTGTAGGACGTTGGCACAACCCATCAGTTGATCGGTATTCCATTCCTCTCTCTTCTGTTTCTGTTTCCCTAACTTCACGAGTGTCATAACCCACAACTCCCATAAGATGTGGCGGCGGAAGCGGGTGCCGTGAGAGGCGCTGCAGTGTAGTGGTTGCCGTATCCGTTGTTAAGATTTGGGACCGCCTCTCTCCACCTATGTCATAAAGAAGTCTCGTAAGCTGTTCACAGCGCTCGTCTAGTTTCTCTTTCATCAACCTTGCCCGGAGGTGAGCCTGTATAAGATTCAGTTGCTCTCGCTGTGATTCAATCGTGCGACTCTGCTCAGTCAATAAAAGCTGCTCCACATGTATTTGCTGTTGTTGTGTATGGACCTGACTTTTATGATTCTTCACTAATTCTTCTTGATGTTTGATTTGCCGACCCTGCATTTCCAGCTGCTCTCGTTGTGCTTCAATAATTTGCTGCATGGTGCGTAGCTTTTCCTCATAGGTGTGTATGCGTTCTTTTTGACTTTGAAGAAGTGCACTCTGCACATCATTCCGTTCCTTGTGTTTTCGAAGAAGATTGTTGTAGAGTTCAGATTGCATGCGAAGAGCCGTCAGACGGCTGTAAAGGTTCTCAAGCTCTTCCGCTTCTGGAAACATCTCGCGAAAGGTTTTAAGTTCCTTAGACCGTTGGTATCGTTTTTGAAAGTCCCGCAGACCCCATTGACGCTCCCGGATTTTTTTTAGTTCTAGGCCCAAAAAGGTGGAAGGGTACTGTAACACGTTCTCATCCCCGTCATTTTGTTGTTTTTGTTTCTTCTCATTGTCATTCCCCTCCTCTTTCCGCTCCCTTTTTTGTTGCGGCTCAGGCACTTCCTCCGCAGTTCCATCATCCCCCGTCTCCGCATGACCCGCGGACGGAGCCGCCACCGCCACCGCCTCGGAGCCGGGGTGCTCGTTCGACCTCCGCACAAACAGGTACCCCAGCCCAAGATGACAATCCGGGCACTCCAGCCGCCCACGACAATCGTACGCATCAAACCACGGATAACGCGCGGTCTTCGTGCGACGCCGCACCTTAATAAAGGACTCCTCAACTATAAAATTCCCTGGGTGTGAAAACCACTGCGTGGGAGACGACGAACTCTGGGCTTCCTCCACCGAGGCAGGCGGTGAGCTCGCTGATGAAGACTGGGCGACGCGATCCCGGGTGCAACGACTGAGTCCACATCCCAGCACATCTTCCCTAACACAAACCAAGTCTACACGGGTCTCCTGGACACGTTTGTAACGTGCTAACGCCTGTATTGCTTGCTGATAAGAGCTGTTTTCAGATGTTAAAACCCCGCGCGACGAGGTACCCGTCGCGTTGTGGCTATTAGCTTCCTCGGGCGCAATCTCCACTGGGACCTCTGCGTTGTCAGCACTGCTGCTGCTGCTGCTGCTGCTGCTGCTGCTGTGAGGCAATGCTGCCGTTGAGCTACCCGGAATTGACCCGCCTCGCGGAGACGATAGCGACGTTCCCACGTCGTTTTGCTCCACTTGCTGCTGGCGCTGTTGTTCAGAGCGTTGTGAGGCCACAACGGCCTCCAATGCTAACTGCTGTGCTCCTGGTGGTAAAACGGACGCAAGTATCTCCTCTGAAACGGTGACGCTGACTTCTGCCACTTCATCACCGCTGTAGCACGGCACGGAGATGTCCAGAGCCAGAACGTCTTCTAAGAAATATTCAAAGGCCGTTTCTGTGGTGCCTCCAGCCACAGGCGCCATGAGAAGATCCTTACGGGAGCAAATAGGAAGCTCGCACCTCGAGCAGACAAAGCAAAGTGCGGAAGACATTACACCTCAAGAAGCTTATAAGGTGAATTGCACACCAGTTGAGCGCCCCAAAAAAAGAAAAAAAAAGCGAAATTTTACTAAACTCTCGTAATATTTGTACTTATTGATTTTCCCCACCTTCCAGCGGAGTACTATGCGCAGTTCTTGGCTTTGCCTCAGGCTTCTCCTTCCTTATGTCAATTGTGTCCCTTACAAATATATATATATCTGTATGGAAGGATTCCTTTCACTCTTCGTGTATGTTTTTTTTTTTTTTTTTATTGTTTTACGCCCAAAACTGCTTCTTTCTTGGTATGGGCGATGCGAACAAGCTGACAAAGAGGGGAATTGTCAGAAAAGAGGCGTCGCTGACGAAAAAGAGGGCGGAAGGTGAAGTATGAGAAAGCAAGTTCAATTAAGAAGAACGTCGCCATTCGTTTGAATTTAGTAAAGAATTGCAAAAAAAAAAAAAAAATTCCCCAAATAAGAGAGTTGGAAAGACAAAAAATAAATATGAAACGGACACGATACGGATACCGCGTGCATGCCGACATGCACAGTTTTTTACTCTTCAGATCTTTTTCTTCTTTCTTCCTCTTCTTCTTCCGCTTTTCTCCAAACGTTTCATACGAATCTCATCATCTGTGTCACTGCACGTCGTTCCATCTGCACGCATATTACAGTACCAGTGCTCCGTGTCCTCTGATATTTTTTCGGGGACAATACGCCACTTGTCGCATAAATCGCAGCACACCCAATGAATGATCTCCACTTCCTCTTCATTTACAGTGTTATTTGTTTCATCATTCTCCACGCGACGAGGCTTTCGTCCGCGACGCTTAACGCCTTGGGGCTTTGCAGCTTGGGTCGTATGAATTTTATTGTCATCACTATTATTCTCCTCAACGTCTTTTAAATTTGATTGTCTCCTGGTGCGCTTCCTTCCAGAAATGTTTTTGGTAAGGCTTTCCCTAATCGGAACCTCAGCTGAGCTTACCGTGGGCGCTTCTAGTGGGGATACAGACGCTTCTCTCTTTGCGGAGTTGCCGTTCGGCGACTCATGGATGGTTCTGATGCTGTTGCTTACTTCACAAGGCATCCTCACAGCCTCTAACTTTACGGTGGTGGGGAGCTCGGCCACCTCTGCAGAGCGAGTGGTTTCTCTGAGCGGCAACGGCAAGAGATCCACTCGCGTCAGGGCACCTTCTGGACATGTGCCTTCCCTCGTTTTCCAGAGAGCACGGCGCGGCGGACAACCAAGTCGTCGATAAGGACGAGGGGCTTCTTCCCCGCGATGCGTCTCGGCCACGCAAGTGATTGTTCCATCAGAAGCCCCATTGGTGTCTTTTTCCTCCCCCGTGGCGCCACTCCTTTTCTCCTCTTCCTCCTGCTCCTGATTTGGATTGTCTCTTTCCTCCCGCTGTGAATTGCTGTTTTGTGCGTCCTTTCCATCACTCTCACCACACTCGCGTTTAGGTGAAACAGAATCCATGTGCCTCGTATCTTCGGAAACCACAAGTGAGGCCCGTGCAACATCCTCCCGCTTTGCTCGCACCTCCTCCGGGATCATCATGATATTTTTTACAAATGTGCCGAGTGCCCTCTTACGCAGCGCAGATGTCAGTTCACGAAGAAGGGGAAGGGATAACTCGACTGAAGCACGGCTTTTGCATGCCGAGGGCAGCCCTCCCGCAGAGCGTCGAAACCCCCGACGCTCGCTCCTAGCAGTCAGCTTTGTGGCCTCATTCCCAGTGGATGCAACCGCCGCGGTAGGGGTGGCAGCAAAAGCCTGTGCTTCAATGGCAACACGGAGAGCTGCATCACCCGTTATGGCGACGGATTTATCACCTGCAGAAAGATGATCCGTTTCACTGGAAAAAACGGGACCCAACCCTTCCTGCTCTGGGACACTGCATGAACCAATATTCAACGCCAGTGCACAAACAAAAGGCGCACCACCCGGAAAGGGTTGATCTACATGTCGAAGCTTCCCACAACTGTCACAACTAACCCAACAGAATGATGCAACCACAGCCTCATCATGATGTATAAGTTTGTCCACTTGCTGCGCCATCCGCCCACGGGGTGGCGGTTCGACTGCAGATCCATTGGATTCACTGTTCTCTTGCTTGACATCCATTCCATTATAGGGCTTCTTCGCCAGACGCTCGCTACGTTTTCCATGGAGTTCCCTTGTCAACTCCTCGTTTATTCGCTCATTTTGGGATTGCGGAGAGCGTCTCAGACGTGTACTTTTGCTGCTGCTATTGCCGCCTTCTTCATTCCCCATGGCCCCATCCAAAGTGGCGTACAAATCCCCCAGCCAATTGCCCCGCAAATCCGCCCAAACGTCCTCGAGGGCGCAGTAACTCCACTGACACGTGAAATTTGCGGGGTTCGGTATATAAAGTGAGATCCTCTCCTTTGGCTCCTCCTGAATTCGTGGTTTTTGTGGCTTAACGGCTTCCACCACCTTTTGATAGTGTTGGCGAAGCCGCGGGGATCGCCACTCCTCCTTTGGCTCTTCCTTCTCTGTCCGCGACTTTTGATGACGATCACCTTTGGTCTTGGACGCCGCTTTCCCTAACAGCGTCGGATAAGTTGCCACCTCGTCCGGGGGATGTTTTGTGACGGGCTGCGCCACCCAACGATGACACCGCACGCACTGCAGAAGGACAGAGCGAGTGACATTTGGGAAGCGGTGACGCAGCGCCCAGAGAGACTCTGGCATGGGAATGTAGCGTGCCGTGGAAGCAACGTCCTTCTCCCCGCCATCACCTGCGGAATGCAAGGCAGCAGCTCCAGCCCCTTGTGCTCCGCGCATTTAGGGTCACCACAGCCGGCTCTAAAAAAAAAAAAAAGGCAGAGAAAACGCCCACAGGGCTTCCAGTAGGAAAAAGCCGTGATAATCAAAAACAACGGCACCCCCGCCAGGAACACCACCCAAAAAAAAAAAAAAAAAAAAAAAAAAGAAAAAAAGAAAAGAAAAAAAAGTCAAAAAAGAGAACAGTGAGCAAGGCGGCGACCGCAATAAAGAGGAATAAACACAAACACACACACAAAAAAAAGAAAAGTATTGACTGCCAAATTACATGTGTTTAGGTAAATATATGCGTTTGGCATTTTTATATATAACCGCATATTTGTCTCTCTACAAAGGTAGATAGACCTAAATAATATTGGAGAGCAACTGAATTAAATTGCCACCTTTCATCCCTTAAACTCCGAGAGATGTACTTCGAAGAGACATTGATTTCCATTAAATTAACCAACCGCAAGAACCATATTACAATAAGGTTGCATCATAAATGGAGAAAGAGGGTAACTGCACTAGTACGCCGCAAAAAATTAGACAAAAGTTGGAGATAGCCTCAATCATAACCAAATATTCTATTGATATATATATAACAATAGAATATATATTAGACTAAAAGGTTCAAGAGATTGTGCATATGGGGGGTGGTAAATACGGAGCCGCCGACACATTCCCACCCCTTCAACTCAAACATGAACCACGTCTACACGAGATGACATTAAAAGTTGGTCAGTGCACATATCAATTTTCAGATATTTATGTATACACATACCTTCTCCTATTGCCTATCAATCGCCATCAGCATCGCGCACATACGCCCACTCAACGCTTTGCCCCAGCCATCCTGTTCCCCCCATTTCCATTCCACCCTTTGCACCTGCACAGACACACACACAGTTGAAAGCAATCATGAACTCACAATTCCATTATACACTCCATTTTACTCGGAATTCAGCTCCAGTTTGGACATGTTACACCTCAAAAATGCCTCGTTAAGAACACGCAGCAGCTCCTCGTACGCTGCGTCAAGGTCCTTGTTAAGAATAATATGAGAAAAAAAGGTAGGGTTTTCCTCAACAAACCGCAGCTCCTCTTCGGCAGTACGGAGTCGATGTTGGAGAACCTCTTCGTTTTCCGCCCCTCGCTTCCGAATGCGTTCGCGCAGATCTTCCATCGAGGGGGGCGTCACAAAAATGTATAATGCATTCAGCAACCCCGTCTTCTCGCGTATCTTTTGGGCTCCTTTGATATCCACCTCAAGGATGCAGACTTTTCCAGTACTCCGCACTTCAGCCACAGCTCTCACGCTGGTGCCATACAAATTCCCGTGAACCTCACACACTTCAATAAACCCGTCTTCGTCCCGCATTTTTTCTACTGTGGCTCGATCAGAAAAGTGGTATTCGCGTCCATTTTCTTCACCTTCGCGCGGAGCCCTTGTCGTGTGCGAGACGGAGTAGCCAAAACGATCCGGAAAATCCCTAAGCAGGCGACCAAGAAGCGCCCCCTTCCCTACGCCTGATGGGCCACAAACGGCAATCGCGTCCAGTGGGGGGTTCATATTCACTTTTTTTATCCGGTAAAAATAAATGAGCGCAATCACACACACACACAAATTTTGCTCGGAATATCAAAACACACACAAACACACAAACACACTCTTTATACCCCGGCTTTAAAAAAAAAATATTATTATTATTTATTTTTCTTTTTTTTTTCCCCTTCCCTTTTAAGCCCTTAACAAACAAATAAAAAGAACAAGAACAAGATCTGTATATACTCATATATGAGTAGATGTAAAGAAACGTTCATGCGTACACGCCTAACATTGTTTGGTTTCATGCACTGAAAGAGAGACCATTCGAACAACTCACTTCTTCCCTCTCAGCTCTCCCTCACTGTTATTACCGTACAGGCTTCTTCAATATTGCACACGTCTCCCGCATTTTTTGAATGACACCCCGAAGCTCTTCCGCGTTGTTCATGGCCAAGCTGATTTTTTGCTCAATGCCCTCACGTAGCTCAGATTGTTCCTTCCGCAGTGCTGCTAACACAGCCCGCATCGCGTCAACGGCGCCGTCTCTTCGTTTTGGCTCATGTGCATGCATAATGGCCTCAAAGGGGAAACACCAAGGAGGGAGTAATCCTCCATCCAGGGCTCCTGAATGATTCTCACCGTCCGTGTCGTTGGACCTATTACGTTTCTCAGCAGTACGACAACAATCAACGGTGGGGACATTCTCATCATTTAGCTGCACGTGGCTTGGCGCACTCTTTTGTTTTGGAAAAAAACAAAACGACGGTGGCGGCTCCAGCTCCGGCTGCGCCATCGTCCGCACTGTGGCCAGAAACCGTGCCACATTCAATGTTGGATGAAAGATGCGTATCGCATCTCGCCGCTCTGAAACAATAGAAAATTCTTCAAGATCCTCAAATTTCACGCAAATTCCCCGCTCCTCCGCGTAAAATTCATCGTTATCCGTGTCGTGTTCCCCAACAACTAAAGGGTGAGCTTCACTGGGTGGTCCCTCACGTTGTTTTGAATGACATCTCGTTGTGGCCACTGCTAAAGACGATGATGGCAACACTCCCGTGTCAGAAGAATCTAATATGACCGTCGGCGGCGGTTTGTTTTGTCCAAACGTTGAACTGAGCAATTGAGGTGTGAAATCTGCTCGCTTCTGCAGAAGCACCATGTGCGACACCGTAAAGGGTGCGATACCAAGCCAGGGGTGAAAGTGCACCTCCATTTCCACCAGATGTTCCGCCCATGTATCGTCCACGACAAAAAACGGCGGATGCCTTATCTCACGGCGTGGCTCAGGAAAACTATTTGGAAGCTTAAACACCACACGATCAACGACAGCGTACAACTGGGATGCGGTTGTTACCGCCTTCTCCTCACTCGTGGAGACTGACGTCATTCGTACATCACCTGAAGTGTACAACGCACGGCGATACGCCAGATCCTGTGCCGCTGAAGACCCATCGCGGAGGTAGCTGTAGCGTATGTGTGTACAACGACTGATTCCTGCGTTGTAATCATGCGGATTATTTCCGTCGCCTTCGTGTGACGTTCCCTGCTGATTCTTTTTTTCACCGCGTCGCCGGGTTTTTGACTTCCTACGTGGTACAGAGAGAGGTGCGGCCAATAATGGCGACGACGAAGATGCACGGCAGAGTGAAAGCGGTAATGCGACACTCCCCACGCAGAATGGAATCAGCATGGCACCAGTGTACAGCACATGCTCCTGCTCCACTGCCGCTGCCCCTCTGTCGCCGTGCCGCATCCCCGTGTATTTCCGCACAAATAAAAACGGCAATCAGAGAAGCCCGCGTATGTGTGTGCGTATAAAACGGGATTTAAAAAAAGAAAGCGGGAGCCCCGTTCTTTTTTAATTTTATTTTACCTGTGTACTGTGTTTCGCCGCAAGAGGAATGAGTCAAGGGACAAAAGTTCAGGAGAAGTGAACACAAAAACAAATGGCAAAAGGACCAGCAAGGAAAAAATGTGGGTGGGTTGCAGAAGACGAGACAAATCATCCCGCCTGGGGCTGTAAATACACAGACAGTCACGAAATACGGCAGATCAGCCAATCAAAAAAAAATAATTTTTTTCCATGCAATGGAATTTCCGGTATTCTTATGCTTGTAAGGGTTCGGAGAGGAAGAATCAAAACGCCGAGGAAAATATAATAATGATTTCGTTAAAACACAAAAGGACAGCGGTAACAGCTAAGACCGTGTCAAATGGCTCTCCCGAGTTGTATCCGCGAACGATGCCACTTCGTCCGCATCTTGTGCCGCTGCTTTGCAATGAGAACGCAAGAAGCACTCCACGGGGGAGGCAGGAGAAGTGGAAACATATTCTGGCGTAGCGACACAAACTACCGGAAGTTTAGGCGACTGTCTCACTGTAACCGCGCATTTCATGGAGTCTTTCTTGTCTGAATGACGTCGGGCAAACAATCTAACAAAGATATGGACTCCCTTTTGGCCACATGCCTGGGATTCACCTCGTTGGGGCCGCCAGCATCCGGTTCTTGAACAAAAGAGGCTCTTCGTGTAGCAGCCTGTGCACGGATGGCAGCTACCGTCGATGCACTGGGATGCATCAACCCTTCTATTCCTTCCGCGACGTCACCCCACACGCCATCGTACCTTCCCAAAACGAGCCAATCCCCTGTACGGTAAAACTCATATTCCTTCCCCGCTATTTGCTGCCTCCTCGCAGAACTCTCCAAGACATTCGACGAATACGATGCGTTCCCATCCGTCTTGTCCATCCTCTTATTGCTACTAATACTATTACTGTCACTGCCGCCTGCTGTGATGAGTGCCCCGTCGGGCAGCGCGAAGCTCTTTCCCTCTATGATCGCACGACGAGACTCTTCAGCGGCGAAAATGCCTTCAATGATGCGATCCGTCACCAGATCTTTCCGTGTAATGATTCCAACGATACGATTTTCGGGGTTGACGACAGTCAAATGGCGCAGTCCCAGTGTGCGAAACATTGTGTAGGTCCGCGGAAGCGTCGTTTTATCGAGCACACAAAATCCAGAGTGGTCAATGTATGGGGAAAGATCAATTCGAACGTCCAACCGTGTTTCTAGGGGCGGCAATGTGCCCAACAATTTATCGTAAAACAAGCGTGCCTCAACCTTTTTTCCAAGCTCGTAGGTGCAGATGGAAGGATGTGGTGTGAAGTACACATGCCAAAGAAGAATCTCCAGTTGCTGACGCACAATGATCCCTTTGTATGTCCGATCACGCACACTTTCAATAGGGAAGGCGTTATGGCGAGTGCTACGTAACACGTAAAGAATTTGCTCAATGGTACATACCGTCTCTAATGTCACAACATGGGATGTCATCACATGTCGGGCGTCAAACATGGGGTACTTGTGAACTTCATTCTCAAAGTCAAGCATGGGCACACACCGCATTTGAAGTAAGATTGTGTTTATATTTTGTGTGAATAACTCTGCCGTCTTCTTGGCGATGGTAATGCCCATCATAAGTGGTAGAAGGTGCTGAAAGTCGCTTGTGCTTTCCATCAAAATGGTACAAATAGAGAATGTAAGACCCGTCGTCCCGCCTAAAAAACTGCCTGCGCCAATAAGAGCAAAACATCCCGGATCCGCCCAGGACGAGGCCGCTTCAGCCCCTACTACCGACACCGCGGCGTAATGGACGCCAATTCCAAACAGTCTACCAACGGCAGCACCAATAACAAGCCCCGGAAGCAGCGTATCACCGCCAAGTGAAACGCCAAGAAACAAGGCGGAGGCGAGAAAATAAATGGACAAGAAAATCACAAGCACAGGTGCGCCCAACATCTCCTCCGTATGCCAACTAAGTAAAGTTTGCACCGCGGAGTCGGCATTGGCAAAGGCAAGCGAGGCATAGGCATGCAGCACGCTCAGTGTTGGCTTCATTCCCCATCTCTCCTCATGGACCTGGTCTTCCACGGCAGTGGGAGCGGAACAAAAAAATCCATTCGCCCCGTAATATGAGATAGATGTCACGTTAAGGGTGGTAAGCAGGGTGGAGGGAACAGCAACGCATGGCCCACCCATCGCACCATGGAGCCCAGCGGGATTGGACTCGTTGCTCATGGTTTGCTGCAACATAGGCAACCGTATGCTGTCACTTCCAATCCTTGGCGGCTCCGAAGGTGACGGAGCGGGTGGTGACCATCCACCGCTGCCCACCGCAGCGGCCACCCAAAAATGGATGGTGACGTAAATTCCTGTGAACAGGACAGGCAAAACGTAGCGGACGGCTTTCGTCTCCAGCCGCTGCTCCAACCAACGCCGAAGCCCCAGAGCGAAGGAACTCAACCGAACAAACACACTGGCAAGTACACCGCAAAAGAGCCCAATAAGAGTTGTCGGAATAAAGTAAAAAATGTGCATTCGCACCAAATCCTCAAAAGACACGCAAGAGACAAAGAATTGCACCATCTCAGATATCAATTCTCCATGCGGGTAGGAATGACGGTCACGAAGACTAAAGTACGAAAAAAATGAGAAATATATTTGTAGCGTTAAAGAAGATACCAACGAAGCAGCAAAGACGTAAATTGCAAACCGCACAGGAAGAATGGTAGAGATAAGTTCGACTACAACCATCAGGCCACCAATGGAAACACCAAAGGCCGAAGCAACTCCAGCTGCCGCTGCAATCACGGTAATAACTCGGCGATCACGCGGGTTGCGAAAACATTCAATAATATGTACACTATCACAGCGAAAATAACGCCGTCGTTGAAGTGCCTGTGCTCCAAGCATGGCACCCGTTAGGATAATTGTGCCAAAGTGTCCTGTGCATGCTCCACTTGCGACGCTGAAGATGATAAAACTCACCTTTGCAAGAAGCACCCTAAAACTACCAAGCATAGGGTAGTGAACACCATTTAGGTATGCCATCACCTCCGGTAATCCAGACCCAATACTCTCAGGGACAAGGAGACATATAAGACTTGAGATCACAGATAGCACCAAGCTAAAAGAAATCCACATTAAATACCCCTTTTTAAGGGATCGCGGCTCAATACCGTATAAACCAACACCAACACCTTCAAAGAGAGCAGCAATATCTAAATCTGTTCGATTTGTCATCGCATATCGATTTGAATCGTTAAAGGAAAATCCTCGAAGCCCGAAGCCTAACAATTCGTACCGTATACCGTTCAGTACATGCAAAAGTGAAACCACCACAATAGCGATGACACTCGACGCAATGCCTAACCCAAATACAAATACCCATATGAACCAGCGAGGTTCTTGGTTCCGGCTTTCCAAGTGATCCTTGTACACTATCGTTGCTGGTTCATATGTGTCGACGGATTCATACCGCTCCATCTTTTGACGCTCACTCGGCAGAAAAAAACGGCGCCGTTTCTTTAAAAGCATATTCCACAAATCTCTCCCTGGCGACACGAGCCCAATTTTGTAAATAAATGGGGTGGAACACGACTGCGAGAGGTTCTCACATCTCCCCTCAACCTCCTCACAATCCTTCGACAGTGCGCGGAGACTCATCCCGTTCTTATCACTGGATATATAAATAAAAAAGAGGGGATGCTGAACGTCACTTGTGGGAGCAGACCAAGCCGTGACACACAAAACAACAGCGCCAAAACAACAACAGAAAGGCGAGAAAGGCAGGCTTTATATGCACAATCTATGTTTATTTATTTGTTTGTGTGCAAAAAGTATCTTTCGGGTTCTTCCACCTTTTAATCTTCAATGTGCGATGCATACAACTCTACCACTCTGCTTTTTACTGCTCCCCTTAAAAAAAAAAATAATAATAAAATAAAAAAATTCTACAAGACAGGGGCATGACATGTTTGCAACAACAAAAACAACAAATAAGACAGAGAGAAGTGGGATGGGGAGGGGAAAGAGAAGTAACAGAGACGTCTGGGTGGACGAGGCAACAACCCCCAGAAAGCGCTACCACCGCCTCGCAGACACAAACCAACAACAACAATCAAATATTTAGAGAATCTCATTCTCTCTCTCTCTCTCTCTTTTTTTTTTTTTTTTTATTAAAAAAAGCAAACAAAAAAGGACTCTCAACTGCAGTAGGTATCATAGAGTCGTTCCATAAAGGCAACGTACGCATCCTGGTCCTCACGGTTTCCAACGGCCATCAGGGGGTGACGACTATGCTTCAGTTCCAACACCTCCACCGCGGGAATCTGCGGGCACTCGTTCTTCACAGTCTCAATCAGTCGACGCGTAAGTTTATTCGGCACCCGGGTGTCTTTTACAGACATCACAAAGGCGATGGGGCAGCGAAGTTGCACCCGACCCGGGACAAAGGAGTACGGTTCATTCCCACCATAGTCACAAAAGTTACAAAAAAACCACAACGCAAAGCGAGGAAACCAACACGACGATGCAATCACATCATGCAACGTATCAAATGGCGCCTCAACAACTACAAGAGAAACATATTGTGCCAATTCAAGTGGTAGTTTCATCGCTGTGTAAAATGTGGTTGTGGCCCCACGACTACAACCAAACAACACAAGCTTCAAATGAAGAGGTCGCCCCGGGGATGAGTGCGCAGTCACGTCATTGTCTCCTTGCGTCACGGATTGACGTTCCTTTATGATTCGGACTGCTCGTCGAATCTCCCGCTGGCATGCCGCCTGATCCCTTTCTCCACCCAAGTTTGTCATCCGCGCCTGTGAATACATACAACGCTTGGAACTAATGGAGAATAAAGCAGACACAATCACTTCCTTCAGCATCATGAACCAATTAAGAGGGTTGAGGCTGAACTTATTGTACGCTATTTCATCCATTTCAGGAGATGCCATGACATTGTGCAGAAGCCTCGGTGCCACACGGCAACTAGCGTGGTAAAGGAAGGGAGGGTCTTCTTCTGCTGTTAGCACGTAATTGCCACGTCCCCTTCTAAAGGCTGCCAATTCTTCCACTGCAGTGACCTCGTTTGTGATGCAGTTGTTGCTCGGTTGCCAGCTACACGCATTTTCAAGTACATCAACGCCATCCACACCAGTGTACCGGGATATCTGAGACCGCGAAGAAGTGACGCCAGGGGTGGCCACCGTAATGATATTCGGACGGCGTGCGGGACTGTTTTCATACGGTGTTCGCCTTGGAAACATCGGCCACTTGGCTCGTCCACAAAACACACACACAGAAAAAAAAAAAAAAAGAAAATAAATAAATTTTCGTAAATAAACAACCATCACCATCTCCTCTTGGCCGTTAGAAGCCGTACGTCATTTTCTGACACAATCCGGCCCCTCGCTTTTCTGTTTCTTTTTTCCCACCGACCCGCAATTACTGCTTCCTCAGTAGAGCTCCTCAAAGTCATCAAGAGCGGCAAGCGCGGACTGAATCTGGTCCCGCTGCTTCTTTTCCTGCGACTCGCCCCCAATGTCATTATCGTCGTTGTCATCTTCCACGTCGCTAATTTGACCCGCCACCGCAGCGGCTCCATCTTTCCTTCTCAACGCGGGGGGCGCCGCGTCATTTGTGGTTTTCGTCACCATATTTGTTGTGAAGCCCAAATCCTTGGATGCCGCCACCTCAATGTTGTCTGTGTCAATACCAATAAGTTGCAGGAGTTGATCTTTCCGCTTTGCCTCCCGATTGCGCTGTTCCTCAGCAAGCGACTCCAGGACAGGGTCAACGCGGGAGCGATAGGCGAGATACTCATTAAGTATCTCCTCCACCTGCTCGCGGATCATGTCCTGCACCTCATCGGTATACTTTGCTGGAGCAAAAAAGACATCATAGGACGCAGTTCCTTTTACCCCTTCGCTTTCGTGGAAACCAGATGCGCGCAAAAAGAACCGCGACGCATACGAGACCTCCATCCGTTGCATTTCGTCGTGAAGACGCAGAACCTCCAAGACTTTCCCCTTTGTTGCCTCTAAAAGAGCGCAACTCTTCTGATACTTCTCTGCAAGAGGGGCAAGGTATTGCTTCTGCTCCGCAAGATCGTCCTCAATAATTTTAAGCCGTGTTGTTTTGCCAATCTTCTCCCTCTCTAGTGTGACATTCGACCGCTGCTGTTGTTCTTCACGTTTCGCGGCGTTGAGGATGCTGTGCATGTTCGCAAACGCCGCCGAACGCAACAGGCCACCTGGGCGTCTACTGCCTGGAGTCGCCTTAACTTCTGTAGGGTTCGCCGTTGGTTCGGTGTGACTTGTACCCAAAATTTGTGTTTCCGCCGGCTTTGCCAACTCATCCAGCGATGCCCTCAGCCGTGTTTTTTCTTCTTCTAATCGGGAGAGAAGGGACTGAAGACTATTGTAGCCCCGCTCAATGATGCGCGCACCTTTGCGCAACATTTCAAACCGATGAACCATCGTTGCGGTGTGCCGGTGGAGCAACTCCCGTTGTTTCCCGGTTAGAGGCTCCGGGTAGTCGTCAATAAGACGGGGTGCCGTGGGACACTGCGCCTCTTCATTGCCACTGCTGTTTTCCAACACTTCTCCTTCCTCCTGAGACGCACCGGTATCGCTGTTCCGGTTGTTTCCGTGAATTGACAGATACGCTGGCGACTCCGACACGTATGCTCCCATATGGGACTTCGCTGTTGCAGGCAGCATCCCCACACACCTTTCTCTTCCTATTTTCTTGTGTTTTAATAAATAAACAAATGTTGATAAAAAAATATATAAATAAATATGTTTTTGTAAAGAGCCGGGCGAATAAAAAATATGCGGTAGGCAGAGCCATCCACGGAAAAGAACAAACAAAACCCACCAAATAGCAACCTTTCCTTTCAGATAATGGGCAGAAAAAAAAAAAAAAAGCAATGCGACGATAAAAGGGAGTAGCGTGTGTGGCTGGATTGGGGAGTACAAAAAAAAAGAAAAAAAGAAAAAGAGAGAAGCTCTCTTACTTGAACGTTATTGGGCACCAACGACAATTTCTTTTTTTGTTGTTCCTTCTCTTCTTTTTTCGTCAGCGTTAAAAGAATGCAGAGGTCCTGAGTAAAATATGAGAGTTGCTTTCGAGCATTGCGGGTTAATGCCACTCCCAACACGGCCGTCCATCACATATCGGCCTCTCCTTCTTCACTGCTCGTGTGCTGCTGCCTCATCACACCATTATCCTCTCTTTCCGGTTGCAGGCCGATAGGACCTTGCTGGGCGAACTGCTTCTCCAGGCCGACATAACGCTCCAGGGAGGATGCGATAACCTCATTGAGGCTTCGCACCAACGCCGCCTCCTCGGGACCAAGACGGAGTGCACCACGTTCACACAGCTCCCACACACTTGTTGCGGAAGGAAGGCGGAGAGTAGGGGAATCGTTGTCACTCAACCCCGCCGTGTTCTCCGCCTCACCAGTATCGACGTCAAGTTTAAGGCGCACATTATTTTTGCCGGCAAATTGGGCAAGATACCGGCCTATAGTGGTGAGTGTTGTGTACATATCCCGCCGTAGGAGCGCGTTCTCTTTCCGCGCAATACGAAGTTCACGCCGCAGAAGTTCTACCGACGAGTCGTCGTTAAAGGCATCTGTGGTTGCATCCCGCTCTTCTTGGGAGCTGCGGAGTGGTGTGAGCGATGAAATCATTTAGTGGCGGAGAATTTTCCCCTTCACTTGCTGCCAAGAACGATGTCTTCGGCAGTGGACGGGCACGTTGCTGAGTTTTCTTCATTGACTTCTGTCGCTCCAACAACGAAGAAAAGATATCTGCCGGCATGAAACCCCTCTTCTTTCGTCCGTTATCCGCGCATTCTTTTCGCTGTTTATTCATGCGTTTCTGCTGCTGTCGTTGTGCACGCATCTCTTCAAGCATACGATCAATCTCATTGTCGTAGAAGTAAGGATCCGGGGAGTGGAGTTGCATTCCTCTGCGTCCTGCCTTATGTTTCCACTGCTTCACGGACACTCACAACCGCAAGAAAGTTTAAAAACAACAACAACATAAAAAAAAAAGAAAAAAAAAAACAGGTGTTTCCCCTCCCTACTCCCCCCACCCTTCTGAGTAACAGCAGGAACATAATCACAACAAACAAGCTGAAATGCCAATTAGACAGGCACACAGAGACCCATTTATTACACAAAGGCACACATATAGACAAAAAAAAAAGTCTGATACGTGCGTGTGTAAGTGTAGAGAAGACACGAATAATAATAAATAACAATAATGACCACCAAAAAATGTAAAACAAAAAAAGAAAATCTCCCCTGCCACCCCCTAACCCCCCCCCAAAAAAAAGCAACCACCAGAAAAGGAAACGACAAAAGGAGATGAAGAGAGAGAAAGAGATAAAAAGAGGGAACTCAAAAAAAAAAATTTTGCCGTACGTGCCGGTAACGTTAAGGGGAAAATACATCTTTTTGTGCTCATTATTAATTTCATCAAAATCCGTCGAATGCCCTTCGTACATCTGCGGCCCGACTTTATTGTTCTTCTGTTCTGTGCTCGTCTCCCTTCCTTTTTTTTTTCTTCTTTTTTTCGTGCTCGTCCTCCCCACTCTGCATCGGTTCCAGTTAAAAGCAGAACAACAACAAAAAAAAGAATATATATATATATAAAGAGAGAGAGAGAGAGAACGGAAAGAAAAAAGAACACTACAAGCACGAGCAAACTTTAAGTCATCCCACCTCCCACCCCCTCATTTTCTTTCATCCCTGCATTTGTTTCTGCTTGTTACCCCTCAGACAATCCTCTCACAGCAACCCTCTCCGTCTCTTTCCTTTAAAACATGTGCGCCTAGGTACACACGGAGAACATATCGTGTGAAACGAGAAAGAAATAAAGGAAGAAACCAACCAAAGAAGAAACACGCATGTATAGATCCCGGGTTGACACCGTCGTCATCGGCTCCTTCACCCCTTCGGATCGTAAATGCGCATAGAAATATATCCAGAACAATACTTTTGGAAAGGTGATGGTGATTACATGGAATGTCCGTTTGATTTTCCGCGTGGGGCGCACATTCCTGTCACCACCACTCCAGCCATCAGCCTCCTTAGGCTCCGTTTGGTTCTATAAATAGCTCCCCCTTGCAACCGCGTCAAGTCTCAGTTGCATACAATCATTTCTCTTGTCTTATTCCTTTTTTATTTTACTTGTTTTTATTTTTTCTTTCTTATTTTTTTATTTTTTGGTGTTGCTTATCTTCTCCTCTAAGTTTCATTCTCCTTCTTCGTTGCTTTATTTCTTTCCAACTTTTCCCACATATTCCTTCTCCCACATACACACAAAAACAAATACACACTCTCATTCTCCATTTCCCTTCAACAAGTGGAAACAGGATTCACCCTCTACTCCTGCGCACCGTTCTCGTCATCGTAGTACCACTCGTCCTTCTCCGGATCGTACCACATCCCGTTTGTCGGGTCATAAAACTGGCAACTAGGCGGGTGGAAGTAAAGGTTTTCCTCCACCGAGTAGTAGAACGGCGTGCCCTCCGTCCTTACCCAATCGCCGTTCGGCAGCAGCAGCGGGTTTCCCTCGTCGTCAAGCTCCTGCTTCGACGGGGAGTTTGATGCCGCCTGCTTGACGTCATTGCCACCCGGGCCTAGTGCTTTCTTCGGTTGCTCGCTCCGTGATTCGTTCTCACTCGCCTCGCCATTGTTGCCACGAGATGCAGGGGATGCGGCATTATTCCTTTTCGTTTCACCTGTCTGCTTTGCGTGATGCTGAGCGGGGCTTAACGTGGGCGCAGTGCTGCTGTTCTTATTGGTGGCGATATTGGCTTGCGCCGCGGTGACGGTGTCCGCAGGTGGCTCTCTCGCCTTTGAGTTCTTGCATCCCATTTCCCCTCCGCGGCCTCTTGCAGGTGTACGAACAACTACGCGTGGCACACACCCTCGGTTCTCCCCCCTCCTTGCGATCTGGACGGGTGAATGAAGTCCTCCCTGTGAAAATACCGGATTTGAATCTGCGGTGGGTTCAATAAGCAAAGAATAGGCAAAACAAAAAAAAAAAAAGAAAACAAAACAAGCTCTAAAACAATAAAAGGAGGGAATATTTGATGCTCGCCGTAGAAAAAAAAAAAATCAAAGAATTATTCTGGTCTTTTTTTTGTTTGTTGTTGTCCTTCTCTTCCTTTCTCTTTCCTGTTGAATGTCCTGTGGCCCTAATTTTCTCTAACGGAAACACAACAAGAAGAAAAAAAAAAAAAAAGACGCTTCGTAATTTCAGTATACCGACTTTATGGCCACATGCATGTACATTCCATCACCCACAGGGAGTCTAAGGTAAATTCTCTCTCCTCAGCATCATCAACAAGGAACAAAAAGAAGGACAAACACTAAAAGCGTCTTTCGCCCGCCGCCCGCGCAGGGCTCTAATATTTTTCTCGAAAACCATCAGAGATTTCTCCCTCCCCTCCTACACCACCGCCCTTCAGCTTGTTGGACCGCCCCATCAACTGGTGACTGTCGCAAGTAGGCCTTTGTACATGCCAGCACGCAGAGGGTCCGCCCGCACCAATTCTGAGGCAAGTTCCCGCAGACACCATACACAATCTTCCTCAATCTCCCTGCTTTCACCGGGCGAATCATTAGGACATAATACTCCACGTATTTCACTTGCAAAGGCCGTCACTGCCGCTCTCGCCTTGTCCTTTCCGTCAGTGTTGCTGTTACCGGCACCAAAGGAAGAAAGTAGCACGGTGAAAAGGTAGTAGCGAGGCCAGTACGCCTCTGCCTCATCACCCAGTCGCTTTTCTTCGCCCAGAAGTTCTATACACGCCTGAATAGGACGCGTTGTGAACTCGATACGCACCGCATGGTGCGCAGGCGAGATGCGTTCTAGAGTGTCAGCTGACCGAATGAGAAACTGAACGTAGTACCACGCCGATTGATCAGCCGGATCGCAGTAGACCGCGGTAATGAAAAACTCCAGGTCCTCCTCCAGCTGCCCCCATGCTTCCCTCAATGCAACATCACGCGTAACATCGTCTTCAGACTTTTCCTGTAGGCGTTGAAGCGCCGTGTTAATGATCACTCCACGCTGATGCCACGCGCTGTAGTTGGAGAAGTTTCGCCGCAACATCGTGGTGGTGAACTTCATCTCCTTCAGCTCTTCAGGAATGAAAAACGACCCACACGGTTCCCCATTGTCACCACCACTACGAGCGCGTGGCTGTGGCTTCTGCTTTTGTTGTTGTTGTTGTTCTTCTTCTTCTTCTTGTTTCATAGCGGGAGCCTCTCCCTCAGCGGTGTTCTTGGAGGCGGAGGCGTTGAGATCGATGGAATACTGCGCGAGGAGTTGTTCCATCCGCGCAATTTCACGTAAAATCCAGCGGCGGTAGTTCCACGCGTGAAAGTTGCGTTCATCGGCCGCAAGCAGCATATCGCACTGTTTCTTTTCTTTCATTAGCGCGGACGACCAGAATCGCAACTCCTCCGGGCACTCCACACGATCAGAGTCGCTTTGCACAGCAACACCGGCAGTGTTTGTGGCAGTGTTAGCAAAAAGGGCATCCTTGGCAAGTCGCTCGAGCTGCGCAAAAATCCAGCGCCTGTGCATAAACGCGGCGTACACCTTGTAGTCACTAACAAGTATCATTGAGCTAAGCTTCAGTTCTTCCTTCAACCACTCAATCTCCCCTTGTGGGGCGTGCTGCTTCGTTTCGTCACTCTGCGACGAGGGGAGCCCTCCTGCCGCTGTGTCGCCCACCACTTGTGTGGTGTTTTCGATCGCGTCGGCGGGCTCCACTTTCTCCTCCCGCTGCTCCCGCATTTTTCCCCAGAGATGCAGCAACGCAATGCGTCGGTAGTTGTACATCGAGTACGCCTCCGGGTTCTTTTGAAGAAGCTCCGAGAGCTGCTGCAGGACCGCCTCCGAGTAGACGCGATTATCGCGTTGCCTCAGTAGGGAGCCATAGGCGGAAGTGAACGCCTGCACTTCAGCGAGCCGCTGCTCCCGCGTCTTTTCATCAAATTCCTGGCGTACTTTCCGCTGATCGTGCATCCCCACAAACAAAGAAATCCAAACACCAGCACCACCAAACGCCCAAAGAGGGAGCCCGCACACGACGGAACGGAATCGGTCTCCCCGTATGTATGTATGTATCACCCTAACATCACACGCATGTCATGCAGCCAAAAAAGAAAAGGGAATTGAGAAGGCAAACACAAATAAAAAAACACAAACACGGAAAAAAGATCTCCAAGGATTCGTTTCAGACGCCCTGTGCATGCATCTAAAATAACACAGCGTGTGGCCGCAAGAAATGTTTCTCCTCCATCCAGATGTAAAAATACAAGAAAGAAAAAACACAACAAAAAACAAATGCGTGTCTGGCCGATGCCTAGTCGCTCTGCTTCCCGCAAGGAGAAAGAAGGAAGGAAAAAGCGAAGATTAAAGCTTGGTTCCGTGTGCCTGGCATCCCACAATCCGTTTGAGATTCATCCAACAGCCACACACCCGTTAAAGAGCCAAATTCATACAAGAGGCATTACGCAACAGTCCGGCCTGTTGTGAAGTCGCGAGAGGACAGGCTTTGAAAGGGCCCCGCAATCCCCCTAACTCTTCCCCTGTCCACCGCATGGAGGGCAGCAGCGGCAGCAGCGGGAAGGAGTGGGTGGGAGGAGTGGAAAAAGCAGCATCTTCCAACGCGGTATCATTGGAAAAAGAAAAAAGATTCCATTTGTGGATAACAAAACGGAGGGCATTCAACAATACGCTCATTCAGTTAATTGGCCCCGGTTGGTTGCTCACACACTGTTTCACAAGCTTAAAAATACACACACACACACAAACAAAAAAAAAAATCAAGTAACCACATCAGCGTCCAAGCGGACAGTCATATTGACTGAGGCCGCAAATGCAGCAAATATAGGGAGAAAGAGAGAACGGCAAGAAAACAATAACAACAAAAAAGAGAAGGTTATTGTATCACAATGATAATTAATACACACACAAGCAAACAAACACGGATACTTCTCTACGAAAAAAAAAACAAACAACAACACGCATGGAGCAAATGAGAGAACAGAACAAGCCCCTCTTTCTTTTTTTTTCCTTCTTTTTAATGCACTCCATTCATTTCTCACTTCGTCCTAATTATTCTCCCTTTGAAATCTCCATCATCATCCTCCCCATTATCTTTTTTTTTTAATTGTTTTTATTCTTTCGTTTCACATTTGCAACGGTGCGGTGCTGAAATATATGCGCAACAGTCCAGCGCCGTCGTTATCCCTTGCTCACCTCCTTTTCCCGCAAGCATCCATTTTTTACTTTTCATTTTTTTTTTAAATTTAAAGCTTTCCCTACATACGTTTTTCGCTAATAGGGCTGTGCAGGAACCCAAAGCACCTTCGTGTCCAGTGCGCAGCGAGGCCACCGTCACTATGAAGCACGTTCCACCACCACCAACGGGCTATCGCACTCACCAAAAGACTGCCGCTCGCATACACGACGCAAAACAACCAATCACTCGCAGTTAAAGGAACAGTTGACATCAGGCGTCCACCGTACTGCACAATAAATACCTGTAAGACCACAATCAGGGTTACAATCAGCAGCAGGGCTGAACTATCTCCCCATCGTCCAAAAAAACTTTCGTCTCGGTTTAACAGACGAGCGTTGAAAAAATTCATCACTTGCATGAGCACAAACACATTGAACACAATAGAGAGATGCTTTGGGCCAAAGTATTCCATGGTAGAGGAATCATTCCGCACCATCTCAGATGCATTTTGAGTTTTAAAGTGTCGGTAGCCATATGAAAGCATGTAAATTTGAGAAAGAAATTGAAAACTGCCCTGTGTTGCCATCTGAAACCACATGCTAGGTAAAATGACCGATGCATGACGGGGCTCCGGAGGGCGCGAAAGGAGTGCCGACTCACAAGGTAACTCCGTCGCCAGCGCCAATGCCGCTAATGTGTCCATTATGAGGTTAAGCCATAGCAATTGTACTGGCTTCAGTGGTGACATATTTTTCTCGTTGATGAGAATGCCAGTAAACGCAACTAAACACGCCACGCAGTTCACGGTTAACTGAAACTGCAGGAACTTCCGAATATTGTCCTTCACATTGCGACCCCACATGGTTGCTTTCACCATGCCCGCAAAATTATTGTCAAGCAGCACAATGTCAGAGGCCCGCTTTGCCACATCACTCCCAGTATTCATCGCAAATCCCACATCGCTCGTTTTAAGGGCTGGGGCATCATTGGTGCCGTCGCCTGTCACGGCCACCACGGCAAGGGGGTCATGGCACTTTAAAAGCCGCAGAACGCGCTTCTTATCCAAAGGGGTGGCACGGGCCAATACGCAAAGTTTTTGTATACATTTCTCTATTAATTCTTCGTCCTTGAGGGCTCGAAATTCCGCCCCGTCCATCACGTAACCCTCCACAATGAGTGCATCCAAGTCCTGCAAAGAAGAAAAGGAACCGCTACATGCATTTCGGTAATGGGGGCGCACCAGACTTAGCAACCCACAACGGCTCGCAATATTGACGGCCGTCAGCGTCGCGTCACCTGTGATCAAAATCACACGCAGCCCGGCACGAAAACACATTTCCAGAGATCCCGGCACCTCAGGACGAATTGCCTCTTCCAATGCAAGAAGCACCAAAAAATTTAGCGGGACATTAGGTGGAGCAGGCGGAATGCCGTAGGCCTTGCCAGCTCCCTCAAAGGAGTCAACATCCCCGTAGGCACAGCAGACGGTACGAAGGCCTGCTTGTGCATATTCTCGCAAAATACCCTCATAGTAAACGCGGCGCGTCTTGTCCAGCGGTTCCAGCCGACCATTCTCCACCACAACTTTTCGACATTCTTCCAGTAAAACCTCCGGAGCCCCGCTCACATACACACGACTGACCCCATTGGGTAGCCTGAGAACCGTCGTGCACTTTTTTTGAAGCGAACTAAATGGAAAACGAACAAATGATGAATTATCACGCATGATGGCCAACAGGGGTTCAAAATCGTAGTAAAAGGGAGTAACACGTCCATCGTCTGCAACGACACATAGATTGGATCCTAGCTGCATCAGAGCCTCTCCGGTTCTGCTTCGCGCCCGCCCCAGTTCCGGATCCAATGCGCTGGCAACAACACACTCCATCAGACGTAAGGCAGAGTGTGTAGAGGGGAGTTTGACAAAGGCCTCATTTCTAGAAACTGTCCCATTTGGGGCATTTCCCTTTCTCAAATAACTCCGCCCTTCGAAAAAAACACGGACAAGTTTCATATCTGGCGATGTAATTGTACCGGTCTTGTCGGTGCAAAGCACAGTCGCTCCACCCATGGTCTCACACGCCGCCAAGTGTCGTACCAGGTTTCCGTCTTGTAACATCCGGCGCATGGAATAGGCAAGTGAAATGGCTACTGAAAGAGGAAGTCCCTCTGGCACCGCAACCACAACTATGGCGATGGCTGTAGTAAGGTTTCCAAAGAATTTCATGGGGGAAAAAGGGCTGGCGTGAACCAAAATCCGGTAGGCCTCCTTTAGGAAAAGTGCAGCAAATGTTAAAATGGCTGCTAACAAACCGTACTTTCCAATTCTCCCCGCCAATGCCTCCAGCTGATCCTGGAGGGGTGTATTCTTCTTCTCGGTGCCGTGAATTGCCATGGCGATCTCTCCCGCAAAACTATGCTCCCCTACTGCGCAAACAACAGCGACAGCCTCGGAAGAACCATCAAGAATACTGGAGCCACTAATCAAAAATGGGTCACGTTGGAGATCCTTAATGATTTCCTCGCTCTCTCCCGTCACACTACACTCATCGCACACAACGTAACGGTTATCAAATAATATGGCATCAAAAGTCAGTTCCATTCCCGCAGAAATTTGCACAACATCACCCACAACAACGTCCTCAACGTGTACCTCCATCGACCGAAGCATCAACTCCCCGCCTGAGGCAGATTCATATCGCCAAACAAGCACAAGTTGTCGAGACTGATCCTCTCGTTCAATGACATGCGAAAATTGTTCCTGTTTCTTGTAATTGTTCAATGCACTCAGCGTTACTACAATGAAAACAGAGAGAAATATCGCCGCACCTTCTACCAGACCGGTGCTTCGGTCAATTGTTCCTTCACGATAGTCGGACGTAGTCATTCCAAGCACAACGGATAAAACGGCCGAACCAATGAGAAGTTGCAGTGTTCGGTCATCCTCAACAGATTCCCTGACGAAAGTCATAAAAGTTTTCTTCTGATGACGCATTAAACGGTTGGCACCAAAACGCTCTCGTCGCTCATGCACAGAGGCGGCCAACACTCCACCACGAATACCGCGAGTACCGCTCCACGCAGTGGGATCTTCACAACGTACATCAAGCAAATTCAGAAGCCCTTGGTGTCCAGAGACCTCTGAAGCAAACTGCTCGAGTCGCTTGTGCCCTATAATGCCTGAAAGAGCGTTTATAATACCACTTGTTGCACCCTTTCCAGTATCCCCAGAGTGCACATGTACAACGGCGGACCTTCCTTGCATCTTCACTCCTTCTCCTCCTCGAAACAAAAAAAGCAAAGAGAGAAAATATGAAAGAGGATATGAGCCGACTGCAATATTTCACCAAAAGTAAAGGGCCGCTAGGAAAATGATACCCCTTTTGTGCAACTACTGAGAAAAAAACACGGAAATGGTTTCAACAATATCGTAGGAATAAAAAAGACAGCTGCCCTTTCAGTGTATGGCTCGTAGTGTAAAGTCCGAAGGGCAAAAGGCAAAACCATTTGATCATAAAAAACAAAAAACAAAAACAAAAAACAATCAGCAAAAACTGTCAATAAAACAGGCAAATATTTATATGCAGACACACATATCAAAGGACACAGCGAGAGGGAGAGGAATCAATTTCACTCCTTTTTTCCTTCTTTTTCTTCCCACCGACCCATTCACTATCGTTCGCCGAGCACCCGCTCCAGCTCCTTCTTTAGCTCCGCTTCCTCCTCTTGTGTAAAGTCGCTCTCTACTCCCAGAAACGCCCGAATACCCTCAACAGACTTCTCCGATAAATACACGGCAAGTTTTGCTGATGCTAAACACAATAATTCCTCATAATTTAGAAGAGTGGCAGCCTTTACCATCAACACTGTTGTTGCCTCATCCCAGTCCTCAATAAAGCGGCGATCGTAGGGGTCCAAGTATTCACATAGTGGCAATACCATCGGTCGAGGAATCTCGCGCATCACATTTCGTCCATGAGACCAAGCAGAACCACCACCACCACCGTTACCACCTTTCCCATTCCCTGCGCTTGCCCCCTCGTCACTTCGGTTCGGCGGCTGATAATTGTACCGATACGTCATATGTGCACAAATTCTTCGGAGGAGATCACCTGTAAAGTACGGAAACGGCAACTCAATGGCTGGAGTAGCACCACTACCACCACCACCACCATTGTTACCGCAGGCCGCACCAGCACTCGGAATACTAGCACTGGCGGTACTACTCTGTGTACCCGCCATTTGACTTTCAGAGGTTTTATCGCCACGATCGCCTGTTCCACTGACGAGGGCTTCTAAACGTGTCGTGGGTTCCCTTCCGTCAAGCAGATCTCGCAAAACCAAAGAAGCCTGCGTCGCGACAGAACGACTCACAGTCGCCTGTTTACCATCAGACCCAATCAATACTAACAACTGATCTGGCATCCTTCTCTCTCCCCTTCTTCTCAAAGGGGTAAACAACAAAAAGAGAGGTTCTCTAACAAAGAAATAGAAACAAAAAACAACAACAACAACAACAAAAAGGAACATCAATCATGGATGATCATAAAAACGGCAACACAAGCCCAATATCGCTATCAAATTTCCCTATGTAAATTATGCATGTGCGTTTATTATTTTTGTCTAAAACTATACCTGCGCATAGAATAAAAAACAAATTGTGAGCCTTTATTCGTAAAGTATTTCCAAGAGCAATACGCTCTTCAGTACGCATATTTCCGTTTTTCCTTTTATTGTGTTCTCTTCAGACTCACACTGAAAATACCTGTCTTAGAATTTTAATTCAATAAAATAGGGAATAACCTGCTATATAGGACGCTTTTCAATTTTTCACCAAACCTCGTTATGGAATTCGTGTTAACTCCCATGAAGACACTTCCACACCAGTCACCGGGTCACGATGCACGTAGTAGTATCGTTCATACTCAGTCGAGTAGATGGTTCGCCATCCGGGTGGCAATGGCTTTTTCACATCCGGCTGTTGCGCCGCAGCAACTCCCACATTCGCATAAAGGGGCTTCTGTGGGTTATCATATTGCTGGGTTTCCTTATTTATTTCCAACTTTTGTTGCTTTTGCTGCTGCCACTGCTGCCATTGCTGCTTGTTGTAGTCAAAATTGCTTTTTTCCGTCGTCCCCGCGGGTCGCGTGGCGTCTTCTAGAGTATTGGTCGCACATTGTCGTTCGCCTTTTCTCTCCTCACCATTGTTCCCGTGCGGATGAAAGTCTTGGCACTCAGTACTTAGACGGCAACGCTTCGTCACATTCTCCGTGTCGTTTGAACGCTGCTGCATTCCTTCCCCCCCGGAACGCTCACGTCGTCTCCTACGACGACCTTGACCTCCTCCATTATTTTCCTTGTTCCTCACCGCGATGCCATCTTGTTCTCGATTATAATTTGGTTGCTGATTTTGTTGCCTGTTTTGCATAGCACCGGGCTCACTCAGTGGGGCTTCGCGTGCCGTGTCGCTATTCCCGGGCATCTCACGGTCATATCTCTGGCGTTGAAGCAAAGGGCCCATCATCGCAATATTCTGCGGTGTGACGCTGAGCGCCGTTTTTGTGTTCAAGGGCACAGTCAGCTGTCGGTATGTCCGTCCGTCTTCGTTGTACCGCGCGTATATGCGGCAGCGGTATTCCACCTCGTCTTCGTTCGGGCCCGAGTATGCCAACTCCAGTGCTGTTCCGTGAAGTGCGTCCACCACCTTCTTTGCATCCTCTTCCCCACTCACCTCGACGAGAGCCCGGGCCATTCGTTGCTTCATGCCGCCCCCACTCTCTCGCGGATCCCTGCGGTTAAACATGACGATCTTCCGGGCCAAACAGATGCCCCGCAAGAGTTGAAACACGACGTGCGGAGTGATGCCGAAGCCATTTGCATCGCCATTGTGTTGCCGACCACCGGCACCACCCTCGTGCTGATGCCGATCAAATAGACACACAAACGTCATGCAGAGCACCACGGCATCCGTCCTGGCCGCCAAAGGGGTTTGCTGATTTGCTTCACTGCCTCTTGACATCAGTCGACGCTCGCCCTCAGCTCTTTCGCTTCCATCGGGATCACTATCATCATCATCATCATCAATTTCCGATTCTTCATCTTCATCTTCTTCCTCCTCTTCATCTTCATCTTCCTCTTGTCCACAGATCATTCCACGGTTTCCTCCAGGCATTATATTGCTATTGCTTTTTTCATCACCATTGGTGCCGGCAGCTGTGTGGGTTGTTGTGGCGGCAGTCGCAGCAGCAGCAGCAGCGGCAGCGGCGGCTCCCTTTGCACACGGCGGCCTCGCATCATTCCGCGGTACGGCGGGCGCATTGCTGCCATGTGCAGCCTTACTCCCCACGGGTGGCGACTGCACGAGATGCACGACGCCCTCCACCAGCATGCGGTCCTGTCCCAAATAAATGAAGCCACGCCTCAACTCCATGTGGTGGGATTCGTCCCGCTCAACCAGCTCGTGTTGGATGATCCGAGACAACACCAAATGAACGGCCCCCGATTCAAAGAACTCAACTGTGGCCTCACCCCCCACACGAGGCGAGGTTCCAGATCTTCCCTCCGCGTTTCCTCCACTATTTTTGTTGAACACCACCTTTTTTATGTGAGCCGCAGGAGTGCGGTCAAAGTGGCGTGCAAAGAACTCGCGCAGTAAAGATTCATTGGCGTGCAAGCGGGCTGGTAATTCCCACAGTTGCACTGCTTTTCCATCAAGCACGGCTTCCTCTAACATCAAGTCAATTTGTCACAAAAACAGCACAAAGACGGCCAACAACCTCTTACTTCCCCGTACGTTCCCAAGACGGCAGAAGACACAAATAAAAAGAAGGAGAGGGTTACGCGGCAAAGAAAAGAAAAAAAACCAAAAAAAAAAAAAAGACAGGGCGCACAACAACAACAACAACAATAAGAAAAAAGAGTGAGATGATCGCAGAATCCGGCATCCCGTCAATAAAAAAAAAAAAAAAAAAAAAAAAGAAGACCGCGTCGCAAAAAAAAAACAAAGAAAGAAAAGGAAAGAATGATACCGACAAACAAAAGAGAGAGAGAGAGAGATTAAATTAAAGAGGCAGAGTAAATTGGGGGTTCATTCCTTTCATCGTTGGATTTAACGGAGTTAAAACAACAAATACCGGTTTAACTGCCGCTTTTGCAGGCCTTCCAAACAAAAAACAAAGCGCAAAGCACATAAGAACAAGAGAAGAAATACGCAAAAAAAAAAAAGAAGAAAAAAAAAAAAAAAACGGAAACAATAAAAATAAATAAATAAACCAACGAAACACGCATAACAAAAAAAACAACAGTTTTTCCTTCTTTTCGCTTTCACCTAAATATATATATATATATAAGACGTCGCTGAGATTTAATAAAAATAAGCACACATGCACCTGTACATATATATATATATATATATATATATACAAAGATATATACATTAATATACTTTTTTTTTTTTTGCTGGTGTTGATTGTGGGGTCTCTGAGAGAAGAGTGGGCAAAGTCCCTCTGCCCAACCGGAATACGCCATAAAAGTTGATTTGAACAAGCACACATACAAATACGTAAATATAAATATATAATTTAGGGGTTCTTACTCTTTCTGTCATTCTCTTGTGAGGAATTGGAGAAGAGAAAAATGCCACGGAGGAGGAAAGTTCCTTTTTGCCCTTAAGACTTGCTTTTTGCTACGAATTTGGTTAATACTTTATTTTCCTTTATTCTGTTTTTTTTTTTTTTCCCCTTCATTCTTCTTCCTTCTATCCCTTTCTTCCCCTAAAAAGGGGTAATATAATCCCGCCCATTGGGGGGAAAAAAAAAAAACCTTCACTTGCACCTCTCGTACATTATTCGCTCTCCCCCCCCTGCTTAACTCTCCTCTCTTTCGCCCTTTCCCTCCCTCCCTCCCATCAAAACACCAAAAACAAAAGCAACACACCACCACACAAAAAAAAAAAAAAATTTTTTTTTTTCTTCCTCTTTTTTTTTTTTTTGATAGCAGCAAACAAAAGAGATAAATAAATAGAGAGAGAGAGAAAAAAAAAAAATTAAAGTGGCAGGGTAAATTGGGCGGTTCATTCCCTTCTCTTCTCTACTTCGTTATGGATTTAACGGAGTTAAAACAACAAATTCTCGCGTTTAACGGCCCTGCCTTTGCAGGCCTTCCAAACACAAAACAAAGCGCAAAGCACAAAAGAACAAGAGAAGAAATATGCGAAAAGAAAAAAAAAACGGGAACAATAAAAATAAATAAATAAACCAACAAAAGACGCACAAAAACAAAAACAAAAAAAAAAAAAAACAACAGTTTTTCCTCCTTTTCGCCTTCACCTAAATAAATATATATAAAAGACGTCGCTGAGATTTAATAAAAATAAGCACACATGCATCTGTATATATATATATATATACGTGGCAATAGAGAGGGAGATCCACAAAAACACCCGCCGTTTCTCCTTTCCTCTTTTGTGTTTAAATTTCTTTTTTCTCAAAAAACAACAACAACAACAACAACAAGTGATGGGTATTATCGAATTATCACTGTTTACACCTACACCTATAGATAGATATATACATACATACATTAATATACTTTTTTTTTTTTTTTACTGGTGTTGATTGTGGGGCCTCTGAGAGAAGAGTGGGCAAAGTCCCTCTGCCCAACCGGAATATGCCATAAAAGTTGATGTGAAGAAGCACACGGACAAATACGTAAATATAAATATATAATTTAGGGGTTTTTTTACTCTTTCTGTCATTCTCTTGTGAGGAATTGGAGAAGAGAAAAATGCCACGGAGGAGGAAACTTCCTCTTTGCCCTTAAGACTTGCTTTTCTGCTACGAATTTGGTTAATACTTTATTTTCCATTTATCCCGTTTTTTTTTTTTTTTTCTTTCTTTCCCTTATTCATTCTTCTTCCTTCTCTCCATTTCTTCCCCTAGAAATGATGGGGGTGCTGTATATAAATGTCCTCCCGTCCATTGGGTGGGAAAAAAACCTTCACTTGTCACCTCTCGTACAATATTCCAGTCTGCTCTCCCCCCTCGCCGCCTCTTTCATTGCCTCTCAGTAAATATACATATGCATGTACACATACTGATTCCTCCTCCTTCATGTTCTCTTTTTTTTCCACCTGTGGCTTCTGGGACCGACTCCTTTCGTTCCTCCATTCCCTCCCTCTCCATCAGAAACAGGCCGACACAAATAAACACAAAAGAACACACACACACACACACACACACCCTTTCTTTATTGAGTCTCAGCTAAAAGACATCTAAAGCAAACAAGTGCTAAACAAACGAACACATACACGCACACACAAAAACGCATAAATGAATGTGTTTTACAGCCGCATAACTCTCAATTTTCTCTTTCTTTTTTGTTTTACCTTCTCCCTCTTCGTGTTTTTTTTTATTTTTACTTTTTTGTTTAGACACCGCATTATGCTTGTAGGCCACATATCCCTTCGTTCGGCACGGATGCGACCGCTGTGACAAGGGCGACAGCCATCATTGGTAAACCAAACGCGCGCCGCAGCTCGGAAACAAAGTCTCTGTCGCGACAAATAGTTTTTCCGGGATCATCGGACAGCTTCGCAACGGGTTTCCCCTCACAGTCAGTCATCTTAACGACGATATTAATCCCACGTGCACCAGGGATGGAGCAGGAAAGCTGCGTGCCGATGCCGCACATGACATTGATTTCGTTAGAAAAGGTACGATGCAGCATCGCGGCCTTTTCGAGGTCCAGAGAATCAGAAAAGACAAGCGTTTTGGTTTTGGGGTCAATGCCAAGTTTCCGGTAGTGTTTCACGGCCTTTTGCCCCCACTCGATAGGGTCACCGGAATCGTGGCGAAGGCCGGTGTATGCATCCGCCAGATCCTTGGTGAGGTCACAAAGGAAACTGTCCATGGAGATGCAGTCCGTGAGTGCAATGCGAAGATCATGCGGGTACTCCTTCAACCACTGCGTCAGCGCCACCCGCTGCGAGTCACGTAATATGGGAGTCAGCTGCTGATGAGCCTGAAACCACTCGTGTGCCTGTGTGCCAACTGCGGGGAGACCCAGATTCTTCGCCAGAAGGTAATTGCTCGTGCCACAGAAGTATCGACCAAACTTTGGATGCGAATGGAGCGCCTTTACAACGGCCTCCTGCACGCCAAAACTATAACGTCGCCGGGTTCCAAATTCCGAGACGCAAAATGTCTCAATCGACTCTTCAGTTGTCTGGGCGAAAAAAGCCTCTAGTTTTTTTTCAAGGTGTGCCAACGCCTCTGCCACCCCTAAATTCGGCGTACGACGTCGATGCACCACCTCACTCACAATGGCTAGGAGCGGCACCTCCCACAGAATCGTCTCCACCCAGGGGCCGTTAATGTTGATGGCAAGATCCACGTTTCCGTCGTCTGACGGCACAGCACGCACCGTCACTTGCTGTGGGTTGAACCGATATTTGCGGAGCCAGTCCAGGTAGTCCTTTCGTAAATATCGTTTCGATGCCAGGTATTTATACTCATCATCTGTGAGGGCGAGGTTTTGCATGAGATGAACTTCTTCGCGTATGGCGTCAGCGGCGTCCCCAAAGTGTTCATCCCTATCACGACAGCAAAAATCAAAAGCCGTGCAAACGGAAGGGTATAGGTGAAATACAGCCTGCTGCATATGCAACTTGTATGCATCTGTGTCCAGCACGGACGTAATGATCGGCCTGGCCACATCCACCATTTGCCCCTCTACCCCTCGTCCGAAAGTTCCCCTAACTACTTTTCCCTCTCAGTCACCACAACCCCCCAAACCCTATATATTATGATTATGATTATTATTAATGGACCGGGTGCTCAGAAAAATGCAAAGGATGAAGAGAGAAACACATGAAAAAAACAAACAAACAAACAAACAAAAAACAATACAACCATCACACTCTCCAGCACATACCGTGATCAATGCATAAACCCACAGAGTCGGCCATTCCTCGTCTATTCACGCCGTCCTCACAACAAGAAGCCCCCCCCCCTCCCCAAAAGGGGAGGGTATGATAAAAGTATAAAAATGAGACGCACACGCAAAAATGCTCGTCAGGACTAAACTGAATCATACATACATACATATACAAATATATATATTTCATGGGGCAATCAAGAAGAAGCAAAAACAACAACAACAAAAAAAAAAAAAAAAAGCAAAACTCAAAAATCTGTTTACATCAGTTGGTATGAGGGAGGGAATCTCAAGACGACGAGTCTACTCGCCCCACTTCTTCCCCTCTAATTCTTACCATATCGCCTCACCGAAAAGCGGCACTGTGCGTGCTTTTCCTTTCATCTTTCAATGGAGAATCACCTTCGCGCTCACGAATTACTGACGGAGGAACTATTGGACTGACAGGGGCCAAGTGCAGCCGCGCCGTGATCCGCGCGATTCGGTCCCTCGTTTCCATCATGCCAAGGGACTGAATCCGAAGTGTCTCCAATAACTGAGTGCCAGTAGTCTTTCCCATTTTCTCAGATGGGGATACACTGTTGTGCCTAGAGCTGCGGCAAGACAACACTGTTCCAAGGACTGAGTCTTTGCGTCCAAGTGCAAGCAACATGCGTCTTTGTGCCTCCATGTGCTCTTGAATGAGGTCCTGCCGCTGAGCTTCATCTTCCACGGGGGATGCGGTGAGAGCTGAAAAAGCATTCTGTCGAAGCGCGCATGAGACAGGAGTCTGCGTCACCTCAATATCGTTTGATGCAGGTAAATCCCACTTCCATGCGACTGCTCCAGCCTGCGCCTTTGCCATTCGACCAGAGTGCGAAAGACCTCCAACAACAAAAACAGGTGGAACGTGGTTTCTTGTATCCAAAGGCGTGAATGTCTCCTCCGGTAAACCATTACCAACTGCCGTACCATTCGTCAAACCTGAATGATTATTCGTGTTAATGCTGTTGTGATTGTTGACGCCGGAAGCGGACAAGAAAGATTCACTTGATGGCTCAGCATGCACACCGCCCCTGGGGTTCCTTTCGAAAGCCAGCGGTGTTCTGTGGGCAGCTGAATCTTCATCAGAGCCGTTCACAGGCAATCCACGCAGTCTAGAAATAAATTCACTCTTGACAAGACCCTGAATATTTTCTTCCTTTAAACGCCGTGAGTGAATATGCGTGGATAGGACACCGGCTTCCTCAAAGGGTGTAGTTGCCTTCGGGAGAAATCGCCGTAGCAAGCGGTCTTTTGCGTGTGAATCTTTTTTTTCTCGATTCCCAAATTCCCGCACTTCTGCACCCGTTGGCTGCATGGAGGGGTATTCCAGTGGATTGATCTCTGGTGTTGCCCCACTAGGGGGCGCGGAAGGAGGAAAACGAGTTGTAGGCGAGGTCCAGAGCTCCGTCGTGTCTGCCATGGGATGGCATGTAGACAACTCACTTCCTGAGAAAGAATCCCGAAGGATTTTGCCCACCTTTGATGTACCACGCGTCAAACGCAATCCTCGGGAACCCACCGGATGACTCTTTTCCCCTTTCGGTGTTTCTTGAAGAAAGTCAACTGCTTGAACAGAGCAGCCCCGTGCTGGAAGTCGTCTTGTCGGTTTTACACCAAGGAACTCATATGTTGACTCTTTGCCTAGGGTCCAGATGTTCATTCCACACTCCCCAATAATCGTACCAGTAAGCGTAAACACTCGGGTAAAGTTGTCTGAGCCAGACGACACAACAATTATGCCTGCTGATGCCGTGGAAGACGTGAGGTCCAGATAAAAACCGGCATCGGAAGTCGGACCGTAGTTGCCGATAAAATGCTCTGCTTCTCCCTCACTTAAACTCCCACACGCTTGCTCCCCCACCTCCGCCCCTTTCGCGATGGGCAAAGGCGTCTCTGTTGCTGTGGATGCTGTTGTTACTCCTCGTGGATCTCGCCGTATTGGTTCTTTTACAATGGACACCCCTGACACCGAGGGAAAACCGCAATGAAACACATATTCCTGGCAGAATCGGAGAAATACATAAAGGGTTTTCTCTACATCCACCTCTTGCTCTAGTCCTTTCTGCTGCTGATTCTCATCGGGCTGTCCGGCCACATCATTTTGTCCCTTTGCCTTCGAGCTTGGGGATTTTCCCACAAACTCGTAGTTGCGGAAGGGTGAGCCGGGCCAATGAGCCATCGGTCTTTCTGCATCGCCTTTCAACGGCGGAGTACGCGCTGGTCGCATGGAGCCCGGATCATTCACCGCTTGTAGTTGAAGGTTGCACACGTGAATATCGCCTCGATCATCTGCAAATACAAAACATTGATTGCACTCATCAATTGCCACATGTGCAAGTCCCGTTTCCCCTCTTCCCGCTGGGAACGCACTTCGCAAGCTAACAGAGTCCATTAAAAGCCGCCGCAAAGTGTGCCATAACGCTACCGTGCCATCCGCATGCACAGACATAAGGATATGTGGTCCCACTGCGTGCAAGGGAAATATTGCAATGATACGCGATGTGAGGACGGACGCCTGCACATCACTACGACGTTTCTCTGACGAAAATGAAATGGAACGGTGCATGGATTCCGTGGGCTCCGTCACCCACAATGCCGATCCCACCTGACGCTCAGCCAAGAAATGATAGAAAATAAGAGCACCAGAAGAAGTCCCACAAACAAGGATCTGCAGTGACACGGGCAACATGGAAAGGATCTCTCCGTAGACTGTTGGCACCTCCCACTTGTTTGCGCTCGCAATTGTAAATGTGCCAGACTCCCTCGTGGAGAAAAGATGACCTGCCGCGGCAAAAAAGAAAAAAGTGGTGCCATCCCGCATAAGAGATTCAAGCGACGTCACCTCTGGTCTTAACGTGGTTGTGGCAAAACTCTCGGTGGCTGCCGTGATGACATTCGTCGTCTGACCATTTACCAAATTCCAAACAGCCACGGCACCATTCTGAAACCCAGTCAGTAATCGACGCCCCAATCCATCCAATGCAAAGGAAGAAAGCCGTGCTGCATTCATAACCACGGAATCGGAAAAATCCTTCAATTGAAATGCAAAAACAGGAGCACCGTTGGATCTTTTCCATGTCATAACCAATCCCTCTAAATCAATAGTAACAATAAGATCATACGTCTTGTTGTATATCATACCCACCATCGATGCCATATTACCCTGGTACTTGTTTGAACAGGCAAACGCCGCACTAAGTTCCTTCCCATGGTAATAAGGATGAGAAGCCAAACAGAGAAGACGCATCTTCTTTTCATCATATACAACGCACTGGGGATGAAGATGGTGTACATGTATCACCTGCGTCAAGCGATACCCGTGCGTGTCAAAGATAAAAATCGTTCCATCTATTCCCACCGTAAAGATTTGCCTTTGTCTTATGTGCACCGCACAACAGCGACAGGGACTATTGTGCGCATCCAAGATGGCTAACGGTGCGTCATGCGAAAAATCCCAAACAATGCCATATCGTTCCGGGCCCACAGTTACAAGCAGACGCAGCTGTGTATTCACTGCAAAATCATGCACGGCGGAGTGCTGTTCTGATCCCGAAGTAAAAAAAGTTCTTAGATGTACACCTGTATCTAGGGAAGTCATTTTCACTAAACCATCATCAGACGCCGTTAAAAGGGCATTACTATCAAAAAGGATGCTCATTTTGTTGATGCGCTTTTCATGCAATCGGACTACCGCATACGGGGAGACCACCCTTCGTAAAGCCTTTGGAATCACATAGAATCGAACCTCACCCACTACCGTTGCGATAAGTAGCACTTCTTCCCGCAGCATAGAATGATGAAAAAGTGAACAAGATACGGAATCCACAAGACCTGCAAGCATGCACTCCTCCACACGGCACTGGACATAGGGACCCGTACCGGGTGGCGCTAACGCTGTTGCGGCAGCCGGCATTTTTCTTTTAGATTCACTAGAGTGCTGTTTCACAGGATAGGCAACTGGACTCCCACCACCACCAATACTACTTGTAGAGGCGGCTCCAAACAAGTCTCTCGCACCTTTCGGACCGAACCGCTTTTCCTTTGCCTTGATCTTCCCCCCCACCTTGACGGACTGTACACTATCATGGGCGTACATATAACCATCCATAGTGTCGACTAATGCACGCCCACGGTAGAGGCGCTTTACCTCCAGGGTTTTCGAATCCAGAACAATCACCCTACGATCCATTGTTACAATAAGGATACTTTGAATTTGATTCGCCCAGTGCACACCAACAACCCAACAGTCCCCTGCAAAGACAATTCCACGGCTTGTCAGAGTCTCCAGGTCCCATGCCCGTACAGTGCCTTCGGACCCACCGGTCAATAGGAGTTTACGCCGTGTGTCCGCCTCCATGCAAGTTCCCGTTATATGCTGCGAGTGCGAAAAGCAATAGCTCGGTTCAGGTGTTGTGGATAACTCTGAAATCGGTCCATTAGCAAGATGGGAGCGGTGACGACTTTGGGAGACTAAAAACGTTGAGAAATCATCCCAAGTTGTGCACCCCTTCGCTTCGTAGTCAACCTTTCTCATAAGATCTATAATTTCCGCATCCGTGGCGCTGGGGATAAAAACTTTAATCGCCTGTGCAAACTCCTGTTCGGATA